CCCCAAAACCCCAAAACCCCAAAACCCCATTCTCAATAAAATTTATTGAATACTTCATCATGATATCAAAGAGGCGTTACCAAATAAACAGGAGCTACAGCCCTGTTCGAAAGAGGATGGTTTCTCTGAATATCCAAAACTCAAGAGTGTGGGTCTAGACGAAGAGAAGCTCTTTGATCCTAAAATTGATGCTGAAATAGCAGATTGCCAAGTGCATACTTACAGGAGAAATCTTGGCAAGAGAAGTCAGAGGAAAATATAAAGCAAAGGTAATAATGATGCTTAATCTATGCAGAAAAGCTGATCAAAACAATCTAAGCGATCTCCTCTCAACACAGATAACCAACAATCTCAATCTTATGAACTCCATAACACATCTCAACAAATCAACACGAAACAATAGACTAAAGAAAATCAGGTCAAATTTTCTAAAATCCCTAAAGAAGAAAGCAACCAATAATTTACTAAATTTCAGCTGTGAAAAACCTAGATATACTAAAATTCCACCAAAAGATGTATTAAAGATGAGGCAAACCTACTTAATGTACCTATATTCTCTCTAAACCTTATTTTAGGAAAAAAACTCCATATACACTTCCCATAAAATAACGGAACAAATTTTGAAGATCTTGTGCAGAACAAAGCCTTTTCAAAAATTTTAAAAGAAAAACTTAACCTTGAGGAAGAAGTTGAGAGAATTCAGAAGGTAAGAACCAAACAAGTTTGAAATATTCTTAGTTGTTTTAGCAACACATTTTGACGACGATATAGAAAAGTCAAAAGACTTTAGGCCTCTTTCCAATAAATAAAGCAGCTTATGAACGAAGCAATGATTCTCCAGATATAAACATCTTAGAAGAATTATGAGAAATAGAAAGAATGGAAAAAGAAGACAAAAGCGAGGAATTTCTCGCCCTAAAAATGCTCACTAAAGTACGTCCCAGTCCACTCCTCTCTCACTCCCTATAGAAATCCAAAGAATTCCTCAACTACCTCCAAACCCACAACCTCCACATCAAAAGCCCCTTACCTGCCCCTCTCCCCTTCAAATCCCCTCCAAATCTCCACTCACACACCCATTCTTCCCAAAATCCTTCCAAAATCCTCAAGTTTCCCCGATTTCCAAAACTACAGTAAAAATTTGGATTTATTTAAAAAAAATTTTACTTAATTTACGAAGGAATTCAGAATTTTGTTCTTGAAAAAGAGGGTTTGTTCGGGGATTTTGGGAAGATTTGGGCTGAGATATTGGGATTTGGAATAGGAATAGAGATAGTAGTGCAGAAGGTAGTAGGGAGTTTGGGGGTTTTGGGAGGTAGTAGAGGGGTTAGGCTTTGGGGTTAGTGAAATGGGGGGTTTTGAGGGTTTGTGAAGAGAATTTTAGGAATTTGGATGTTTGAGTGGTTTGAATTGTACATTCGGAGAGAATTAAGGGTTAGGGATTTATAAGGGAGTAATTTTGGTCAGAAGTAGAGGAGGATAAAGGATTATCGTATTTTGAGAGATTGTATAGGACTTTTTGTAGATTATAGAGGAGAAAGGAAAAGAGTAGACTTTGGAGACAGTGACTGCTAAGAGGCTTTAGATTAATATGAATATGAAGGGAGAAGTGTGTAAAGGAATAAAGTATAATAAGGTTTTAGATAAAACTAAAAATAGAGAGCGATATTAATAGCCGTTTTATATATCTTTCATTTATTTATCTTAAGATAGGGGTTTTGGGGTTTTGGGGTTTTGGGG